ATCTTGAAGGACATTTAAAACCTACATGGGATTGGTTACTCACAGTAATGGATGCCACAGAAGCACAACTAAGATTCGGAGTATCTTTAACACGTAGTGCAGATCCTACGCATCCAGAACATCCATTGAATAATGCTTCATCATTGTCAGGAGGAAATTTTTCTGGACTGTTAAATACAGCAGCTTTATCGTTAACATTACAATCTAATACAGGTCGGAATCAACGCAGTGGTATCGCTACGAGCTCCAATATCTCCACACCACAAGCTTCTACAAGACTCACCGTTGGTTTTGCAGGCGTTGGCGAACCTTCAAGAAATAGTAGAGAACGCGAAGGTATTATCTAGTATCTTTATATTTATATAAATATAATGTTTATATATTTCAGCAATCATTTGGATGCATTCCGATTATATTTTTATATTATATAAATAAAAATAAAAATAATGATTAAACATTAATATCTTTAGGTGGTGATGTATATTTGGCGAGACGTGAATTTTTGTCCTATTGCCTATCCTTAATGCGTGCTCACAATGCCGAACATAGGGATAGTTTGCCGGTATTAGATGTTTCTGCTTTACGCCATGTAGCATATGTTTTCGATGCATTAGTATATTATATGCGTTCACTATCGGAACCAATATCATCACGAGGAGAGAGCCAAAAGGAACCATCAAATTATTCAAGTTGGAACGATCAGGTGTGCATTACATAATAATATATTTTCTTCATCAATATGCATTTAATACAAATTACAAAAATATAATCATATATCACAGGATGAAAATGACAATGATGAAGGAGAAGAATATAGTTCTCCAGTTCCTACTGCTCTAGAGACAGACTCTGTCGATTATCCTGATTTACTTCAGGTTCCTATTTGTGGATCAGGAAGTAATAATAGTAGTACACCAAAAGGAAGAAAGCATCCTTTTTTGCAAAGATCAGATTCTACTTTATGTCTTGGCTGCCCTCCTCTTGATCCTTTTGACACTGTCATGAGCGAAGCTTTACCATTAGCTGATCAACCACATTTATTACAACCCCATTCAAAGCGAGAAGATCTTTTTGGTATACCAAGACAACCAACAGCAAACACAGGTCCTAATCAGAATCCTTTAGAAGGACTACCCACAAGACTTAGTCTATCTGCACGTGGTACTGATAATCAGAACACTCCTACACCAACATTTAGCCAAATTATTCAGAGATCTGCTTTTGCATCGTCAGATGCAAGACGTAATTCTGTAACAATTGGAGATTCAACATCTGCTAAGCATACGGTAATATTTCCTTTATATAATATATATATTTCCTATAAGAAACTGCAATATATATAAAATTAAATTAAATTAAATTAATTTATTTATTTATTTAATTAATTATATTTATTTTTTTTCTTTTTTTATATTAAAACTTTCGCATAAGAAATAGCAAATTTTATTTTAATTTAAATTTTATATTGTTGTAAAAAATTCTATTTTTATATTGATGATAATTTTTATATGTTCACTAAATCTTTTATAAGATACAATTATTTATGTTAAAAAATGAAATACGTGGATTTATTTTCAATATTATAGGAAAAGACAAAATCATTTAATCACACACTTGTCGCGGAGCAAATTGATCGAGCTCCAATTATAGTTTCTACTAATAATCAAAGCGATCAAACAACAGGAAATACAAAATCTAATAAGGATATATGTAAAATAAATAGAAGTGTTATTGTTAGAGCTGGAACCGTTTCGGTAAATATATATAATTTAGTTTGCAATAAAAAAAAGAATTATAAATTATTATGAACACATAAAAAAATATATAAGTTTTACTAATATATTAAAATATAATATTTTATTATAATTTTAAAGGAACCAAGTTCAAATAAAACTAGTGCATCAGAAATGATGTCTACATCAAATGAAACAATTGAAAATACAACAGAAGAAATGGACACTTCTGGTTCGAATCAAGAAACATCTATATCTCATGAAACAGTTGAAACAAATTCAGTTTCATCTATTGGAACCAATATATCTCATAACATTTTATTGGGTCGTTGGAGTTTATCTCTTGATCTATTTGGACGAGTTTTCATGGAAGATGTTGGATTAGAAGCTGGTTCAGTCGTATCCGAATTAGGAGGTTTTCAAGTTAAAGAAGCGAAATTCCGAAGGGATATGGAAAAACTTCGGAATGCACAACAAAGAGATATTAATTTGTTAAAAGTAATTAATTATGATATTTTAAATACACGAAATATATTGCATTTATATAATATAAACAAATTTTTTGTTCAAGGTCGAACGAGACAGAACACAGTTATTAGTGCAAACAATGAAAGAATTAAATACACATTACAATTTATATAATAGGCGTGCTACTAATGCACCGCCATTAGCAGTGCATCGTGTTAAAGTGACTTTCAAGGATGAGCCTGGAGAAGGCACTGGAGTAACTAGAAGTTTTTATACTGCAATTGCAGAGGTTTGTTATATCATAATAGAAATTATTTTGGTTTCTCATTTTAAAAATGTAAATATATATATATTTTTAAAGGCATTGCTTGCAAACGAAAAACTGCCTAATCTGGAAGCTGCACAAGTGGGATCAAAATATACACAATATAATGTTCTTCGAAAGCTAAAAAGTAGAGATCGTGATCATGATTTAAGGCGACAAGTAAATATAATACAATAAAAAAAGAAAAAAAATAAAAAAATTAATTGTTTTTCTTTGTTTACGGGAGCTATCTCATTACAGAATCCTCGATCTTCTGGAAAATGTCGAGAGACACGTAGAACATTATCTTTTGAAGCTCGTGTTTTTCATCCATCCAGTTCTGTTGAAGGAACCAGTAATTCTGGAGCTGGTAGTTCATCCTCCAATTCTCATCCATTACCTGTTAGTCATCCAAATAACGATCACTTGACTATGCATCAACTACAATTTGGAGACAGGCTATATTCAAAAGTATTCAATAATAATAATAATAATAATAGTAATAACAACAACAATAATAATAATAATTACCACATATTACCAGACTATTGTTACCTTTTACAGGTTTATGCATTGCAACCCGCATTAGCTGCTAAAATAACTGGTATGCTGTTAGAGCTGCCCCCTGCACAGCTGTTGATGTTACTAGCTTCAGAAGATGCTCTGCAGCAAAAAGTAGAGGAAGCATTTGAAATAATACGTAGTCATAGTCAGGAATCGGCAAAAGAAGCGTTGTTGGATCTCGATGTATTCAGTTTGATTGCACGTTGCGGAGCTAATAAGAAAAAAATTGAAAATAGCATCTTGGATGATACTGAAGATAATGCTCCTCTTTTTTATTCTCCGGGAAAAAGAGGTTTTTATACTCCGCGACAAGGAAAGGCCAGTTATGAACGATTGAATGCATTCAGAAATGTAGGCAGGTTGGTATAGATATAATTAATCAAGATCATATTATAATATAATAAAAATAATTATAAACTATTAATTAATGAAATTAAATAAATTTTTCAGACTTATAGGATTATGTCTCTTACAAAATGAATTGTGTCCAATATTTTTAAATCGTCACGTGATCAAATATATTTTAGGAAGACCAATTCGTTTTCATGATCTTGCATTTTTTGATTCTGTAATTTATGAAAGCCTAAGACAACTCGTTATTGATTCCGAAACCAAGGATAGTAACAGTTTATTTTCTGCTCTTGATCTTACATTCAGGTAAATTCATGTTTTTATTCCAAGTCCTTATTCTTTTTAATATCTTATATTTGATCTTTACGATATATAATATGCATTTCATTATTTTAGTATTGATTTATGTCCCGAAGAAGGAGGTGGATCGATTGAACTTATTTCTAATGGGCGTGATATAGAAGTAACTGCAAATAATGTCTATGATTATGTTCGAAAATATGCGGAAGTTCGTATGATTAAGGTACAAGACAAAGCTTTGCATGCCATGAGAGAAGGAGTGTTCGATGTACTACCCGAAGGAGCGCTCGATGGTTTAACATCTGAAGATTTAAGACTCCTCTTAAATGGGGTCGGTGACATTAACGTTTCTGTTTTGATATCATATACTTCCTTCAATGATGAATCAGGAGAACCTGCCGATAGATTAGCTAAATTTAAGCGATGGTTATGGTCTATTGTCGAAAAAATGTCTCATTCAGAACGACAAGACTTGGTAAGAGATTACAATTAGATGTTATAATAGTAAAAAAATTTTTCTCTTAAACAAATTGCTATACTTTTTAGAAATGATGCATTTTTTATTTCTTTTTTAGGTATATTTCTGGACAGGGTCTCCAGCACTACCGGCAAGTGAAGATGGTTTTCAACCAATGCCGAGTGTGACATTACGACCAGCAGATGATCATTTACCAACTGCAAATACATGTATTTCCCGACTATATCTTCCATTGTACAGTTCTCGTCACATATTAAGACATAAACTACTACTTGCTATTCAAACAAAAAATTTCGGATTTGTATGAATATATAGATTCTATATATATAAATATATATATATATAATTATATGTATACATAAGATATATATAATATAATGAATATTATATATACATTATGTATATTATATATACTATGTGACCATGTTTGTGCGTAATAGCTCTAAAAAGAAGTCACATTATCGATAATGATATAAGAAACGAAAAAGAAGTTGTATGTTGTTATTTTTTTCCTTCCTAAAAAAATTTATAACATTTATAAATTTGTAAGGTGTAATTATGAATTCTGATTTCTTTTATTGAACAAAAAGACGTGGTTTCCATCATAATAAGATTTTATATTAAAGTGTCATCTTTAGTCATTATAGTAATCGAATAAAAACATTCTTAAAAATTACAAAAGAAAATCGATTAATAGCAATCCCGTATCATCAGAAGTAATTGTTTTAAAATGTTTTCCATTTGTTTGTATATATTGTATCATATCAATACATTTTTTGTTAGGAATTTTAACAAATTATTATACAATTAAAAATTTTTTATTAGGCATGTTAAGATGTAACATAAAATGTTGACAGGAAGTTGTAGATTTTTTTTTTAATGCATACCAGCAATAATTGTTTCCCTGGATTTCAGCATGTTGTTGATTATATATAATACATATCATTTTAAAAATCAGACTACAACACGACAAATTACAAAATATGAGAGACTTGATATTTAATAATAATGAAAATTACATAGTTTTGCGAATGTAAAAACTATTTTTATGAATGAAAATGATAACAAAATATCAACAAAATCACAAGTAATTTAAAATAGTACAAATATCTTTCAAGCATTAAATTCTTAAGTTGAATTTTCTTTTTTTAAATCAAATTTATGGTGGATGAAATTAGCCAAATGCAAAGGTAATAGGAAAAATAATCTAGGAATGTCTAGCTGCCTATTTCATATTGTTATATACTTTCTTTTTTTTAACATGTTCAAAATCTTGAATCTATCATAAAACAATATCAACTCCATTACTTATGCTGCTTAATCTTGGCATGCACTCAATATATGTCCTTGTTTCTGTCTAAGATCGTAACAATATATATATATATATCCAAAATGATTATCATTTTGAAAGAAAATTGAATTTACAGATTTAAATTATTATTTATATATATATTTCCTAAACAGTAAACTGAAATAGTAAAAAATAATCTATTATCTTTAATTTACTTAAAAAAAAGATTACTAATGCTAATATGTATAATATAATAAATCTCATTGTTTATAAATTTCTAAAAATCGTAAAGGTATATACAATAATTATATTATCCGTTATGTACTTGACAAAGTATTAATAGAAACTTATGTACAATGGTTACCTATTGACCACTTCCTGAATTGTTTTGGGGTAATTTTGCTGTTGATTGGTTCAATTGAGCCAATGTTTCTGGAGTCGCGTGTGCTTTCAGAATTGAATTTTCAGCTTCCAATTGATTTATACGATCCATAAGCTCAGCTATTTTTTCCTTGAGTACTTCAACTTCTTCTCGTACAGCAAACATCAAATGACTCTTAACAAGATCCTACAAGAAAATATTCTATTAATTTCAACATTATTTTCTATTATTGAATAATTGTCCCTATGATAAAATATATATAGCTTACCATGGCTTGCTCAATCTTATTATCAATTGCTACAGCGCTAGTCCCCGACATACTGCAATAAAAATTACATGCGAAAATTTATTTATGAAGATGCTGAAACATGTAGATGCTGTAGCAATTAAATTCACAATCTTGTTAAAAATTAGTTTTCTGTTTCTAAAAGGAGAAATTTCTATTAAATACTCTTTTAATTAATAATACTAAAGATGGTATATATGAAAACTATCCGTGAATATGTATGATTTCAATAATTTAAAACATATTAAATAAAGTACCTTTCATTATCTTCGAGGGTATGATGTTCATCACTGCCTTGAGTCACTTCAGTTAATGATTCTAAAAGAGTAGTATCAGCAGATTGGGTAGTGGATCCAGCTACAATCCCTGAAATAGAATCCTGCTCCGGATCTGGTTGATGAAATGTTATATTTCCCTGTTGCATACCACCTACAACATTTTGGCAGCTAGCTGATACTTGCGCCATTTGTACTTGAGTATTACTACCAGAAGTTGTTGGTTGTATTTGAGATGATGGTATCACTTGAGATTGCACTGGTGCACCAGGAGCATGAATAGTTGATGATGTTTGCTGTGCACCTGTTTGAGGAACTTTATGAATATTTTGGATGCTCTGCATTCCTTGTATGGCAGTCAATGGCTCAGATATTTGAGTCATTGTTTTTGGATTAGGTAATGATTGTTGAGGCTGTTGCTGCTGCTGTGGTTGTTGTTGCTGCTGATTTTGAGGATGTTGTTGTTGTTGTTGTTGAGGAGCATGTTGTTGTTGCGAAACTAGAATATTAGGTGCCTGTGACGTTGGTACAGGTGTTTGCTGCACAGAAGGTTGACAAACATTTTGGACTGGTAATGATTGATTTTGTGTGCTCACTGTCACATATGTATCTTCTTTTGAATGAGGTATATTTTGTTGAGATGTTACATTGCTACTGCCAGTTTGTGTTATAATAGGAATAGAACCTTGGGGCATACTTTGAGGTTGAGTCAAATTATTGGGATGAGTTGGCTGTAGATTAGAAGGTAATGTGGAACCCTGACCACTTTGCTGTTGTTGTTGAGATGCCAATTGTTGAGCTGAAGATTGAAAATATTGAGGAATTTGCGAAGGTGCTTGAACATTAGTTTGTGTTTGAACTTGCGTTGGATTATGCTGTGCATTGGGAGGAATTGAATTGCTTACTGCATAATTAGCACTTGAAACTGATGTAGAATTATTTGGTACACCAATTGATGTGTGCACATCTGCATGTGTAGATACTTGTCCATTAGTATCAATGCCCATACCTTTATCTTCTGATACAATTGATTGTTTAGGTGCATCAGGTATAACAATTCCACTATCTGTTACTCCATATGATATGCATACCTCATTTGGATCTGATACTTTTGGTGTACTGATTGCTGTTGGTTGATTGACTGATGTATGATCCAAATAATCCATGCAAGTCCATCTGCCCCTTTTAAATGGTTCAGTACTTTCAATCTTAACAACTTTGAATCTCTCATTTCTACCATGTGAATGTACTTCACGTAAATCTGCATCTTGTTTGACATTACTTGAAAGTAAATTGATAATGTTGTTGTCGGTAACAGATGTAATATCCAAGGTATTGATATTGCTATCATTTACCGAATTACTGACATTATTTCCTTCAGAGGGAACAATTGCCAAACCATACTGAGAACTTGTAGGAATCACCGGAGCAGTGCTGAGAGCAGCATTACTGGTATTAAAAAATACATCCTCTTTGGAGAAAGTATCTTCTGAATAGCTAGGCGTTTCAATGTCAATGTCGGTGATACGCGAATGTTCGACCGAATTGTCCTCTGTATGAGATTCATCAAGATCATCATTTGAATCCTCACCGGCATCATTGCTCATACGAGAACCAACAGTAACGCTTGTAATCTGGAAAGACGATGTCTTTTTCCGACACTGATTACTGGCCGTCACGTTGCTCGAAGTAGTCAAACTAACCGGCTGATACAGTTTCTCTGGCTCTCCTAACCGAATCGTCTCAGTAGTTGTACGATGCACTGGATTCGATATTTTTCTACTACCATCCGATAGCTTATGGGATTTTCTGTGTACATTATCTGCCATTATTATAGGAACTTAGCATTCGAGACCCACGATCTTTGCATTCGTTGTTTTCTTGCATGTTAAAACCGACATCGCTCTTAGCCGGGGCCTTTCGGCTTCGAACTATTTCTCCCTATTACAATTGTCACAATTAACTTTCAAACAGACCGATTTTTATTCTTTATGATAATTTAAATTATATTCATATTCTCATCTTATAGAGGTGTTGACAGTTCACCATTTCATCAATTTCACGGGGAAGAAGTGCATTCGCTCGAGCACCGTCCACTCGAAACGAATATTCACTCTTCGACAAATGCGGAATTGTCTTTTTCCTTCTTCACAGCCGATCACGTTACATTTAATCTCACGCGTTTACATATTACTATCTTGTGATCTAATTTTTCATTATTCATATCCTTTCTACTTTATTATACTAAATAAGCAGTTTAAAAATGGCTGCCAATTCACTCGTAGAATTACCACGAATTATATCTAGAACATCTGTGTGACTTTACAACTAAAAATCTATTTTCATCCGCGATGTAAGTGCATCACGAGAAATAAGCATAGTACTCTCTTTGACCCTTATCATGTAAATACGCCAATAGAAATGTTCTAATCTTATTTATTTCTATATCGCAATACTTAATTTATTCTTTAAACATTGAACAAAATTTTAATTAAAAAATGATTCTGCATCATTTATCTATTCTTATATTTTAAAATTATCATATTATTAATAAAAATTAAAAAATAAAATTTATATATTTATAAAAATTAAAAATAAAATTTTATGGAAATCTAAAACATATTTTCTCGCTTATCAAATATTTTATTATTTTCATAAAAAGGAAGATTAAATATAATATAATAAAAATTCAAGTTTTATTCAAATTATTTAATTTTTTATTATTTTTATGATATAAAAATATGCAGTTATAATATACATATGTCGATTTTAATAAAATGTGATATAATTTCATTATTCATATTGTCCGCGTTTATGTATTGATATATAGTCGTTATACATGAAATAAAAGCTTTAGTTTCTCGAAAAGAAAGTTTAAAAGAAACGAGAAAATCGAGCCTGCTATTAACGAGTTTCATAGTATATCTGTATTCTAAAGATGATTGAAATTACGTTTTTTTATAACTTATAAAATTTATCAAACAATTAATAATTTGATTAATCAATAAAATTTATTTAAAGCATAAATTTTTTACGCCTATAACAAATCTGTAAAATTTTTTATACAAAATCATAACAATCATGTTAAATACAATAAAAATAAATTTAAAAAATAAAGTACAAAAATCGAGTAAAATTATAAAACTTAATAAAATCGAAAACAAAAAACCAATTTCAAAAACTTTACCAGGTAAAAAAATAATTATAAGAAAAAATATAAAAAATTCATCCATATTGAGTTGAATAAATATTTATTACTGAAAAAATGTTGTTAGTTTTTTTATAATATTAATATAGTTTTTCAGTATCCAATAAGTAATGAAAGAGATCATAGAGTGTATGTTTGGGGTATGGCAGATCATGGTGCTCTTGGTACATTAAAATCAACAGTGTACGAAAAGGGTATTTCTTATATTCCAAAACCTAAAAGATTGTCTTTTGGAGAAAGATATGACGTAACAAATATTGCTTGTGGTTATGGTTTTACTGCTTTTGCTGTGAGATCCAATGATAAAAATATTTTATATGGAAGTGGAATAAATACAGATTCACAACTTGGTAAGAATTATATTAAAAATTATTTTTAAACTAGATAATTTATTATATTAAAATTTAATTTTTCATAATTATTTATATTTTTAATACAAGAAATATATATTTTTTAACATTCTTAATATACTATTAGGTTTTGATGAAAAAGATAAAAAATTTCCCAATGGTTTAATAACTGAACCAAGACCTATTAATTTACCAATTAAAGATTCTTCTACTAAAGTCCTAGATATAGCAGCTGGAAGAGCACATTTACTTGTATTAACAAACGAAGGTTTATTTACATTAGGAAATAATGCATATGGACAATGTGGTCGTCCTATAATATTAAATGAAAATTACGAGAAAAGTACAGTTATTCATCACATACCTAGCATTAAGGGAAAAAAGATTAAAAGTATAACAGCTGGCCAAGATCACAGGTATAGAAATTCTTAATACTAGATATATAGTTCATTACAATATTTGAGAATTCTCCCTTATTGCTATATGATAGCATACTCTTGACAGAATCTGGTGAAGTTTATACCTTTGGCTGGGGTGCAGATGGACAAACTGGATTAGCACATTATCGAAATGAATATAGGCCAAGTTTAGTAAAAGGAGATTTAGCTGGACAACATATTATAAAAGTTGCATGCGTTGCAGATTGTGTATTAGCACTCAGCGGTATCTGCAATATTCATGTATTAATACTATAATAAATTACATAACTTTATTTTATATAAAAATAATATAATAAATAGATATCATATATAATAATTGCAGATAAAGGAAAAGTATTTGGTTGGGGTAATTCTGAATATGCACAGTTGTTTGTGGAAGATGGAAATCAACAGGTGAATATAGCTACAGAGATAGATAAATTGAAACACTTAGGTCATATTGTAGACATTGCTTGTGGTGGTTGCTTTTGTATGGTTTTAAACAGTAAGTAATATTTATAAAATTGTGTTTATAATTATTATGATTATAACATATTATGATTTACAATAATTTAATATATGAGTATTTAATAGACACAGGTGATGTTTATGTGTGGGGTTTTGGTATTCTTGGTTTTGGTCCTAAAATTACAAAAATTGTGCAACCAACTCTAATTCCAGCTACACTTTTTGGAAATAATGCATACCAGAAGAATACAAAGGTAAGTCTATTTTATAACTAAAAAACAGAATGTAAATAATATTTTTTTTAGGTGATAAAGATATTTTGTGGTATGAATCATCTTGCAGCTTTAACAAATACTGGTGATTTATATATGTGGGGTTGTAACAAATTTGGATCTTTAGGATTAGGAGATTGTAAAGACCAATATTTTCCCTTGAAGGTAAATTTATTATTATATTTGCCAATAAAAAGTAATAAATAATAATTAAATTATAATAATTTCTATTATAGGTCAATGTAGGAGCACAAGTAAAAAAAGTTGCTTGTGGAATAGATCATACAGTTATTCTTTGTAAACCTTTTATTTAAAGCATAGTATATTTTCTGCATTATAAATTGGTAATATATTATTTATAAAAGTTATGTACAAATTGTTATTTCATTATTTGTTATATAAAAATATTGTATACATAGTCAATTATTTTTAATTTCATAATATATTACATGAAATTAAATTGATTAATGCATACATATTTAATAATGAATACATATTTTTGAACAGAAAGTTATTATTCAAAAATAAAAATAATATTTGATACAAAACTTTTTATTGAGATTTAAAGCTTTTTTTTTTTATCTATTATAATCATTTTATTTTTAAAATTATTTATAAAATTTGTTAATTAAATAATATCATACATTTAAAAAATATAACGTTATTATTAGAATAAAAGAATTAAATACAATTTTAGTTGCTCCACTGATACATACCATATTTTCATAAGATATAGTATATTTTATTAAACTGGGAACTCTGCAAACTCGAAAATCTGAAAAAAATTTTAATTACATAATATAATTTTTATTAATCAATATATTGATAAAAAATATAATGTGATTTTTATGTATTAATAATATTAGAAATATTAGAAATGAATTAATATGGATGGAATTTCATAATATATTGAAATATAATTTTTACTTACCAGTACATTGATAAGAAATGGAAGCATTTGAAGCTATTGATATATAAAGTGGCGGACATTCATGAATAAAATTAGCATCATTACAAGAAACAGTAATGCTGTATTCTTCATTTGATATAGATACACATGATTGTGATGCATTTGTTGTATTGATATCTAATGGTTCTCGTGACGAACATATAATTAAACTATCTGATTCAGTGTCTTTAATCTGAAAATAATATATATATTAATATTATAAGATTCCATATGGAATAATTAATAATATTTATGAAAATATTTACCTTTATTTTTGTCATATTATTACTGTTATAAAAATAATTAGGATGTAATTTATAAAAATTAATACCATTTGGTTTAACATAATCATCATACGAATTTGAAAATCCAGATGGGATATAATCTGATCCACACTGTGTATTAATCAAGCGTTTGGGAACTATAATATATTTTACAAGTAGCATAATAAAGACATTAAAAAAATTATAAAATTAAAATTTATTTTCCTATTTTACCTTGATTTATTCTTGGAATAACCATATTAATTATTGGTTTCAAAATTTCTTCTGTATCTCCGATACCAATAGAGAATAAATCTGTCGTACGATTATGAATTAAATCAAACCATGGATCTTTGGATCCATACGCCATAATAAAAATCATTGTATCTGAAAATTTTAATAATGAATTATAAAAATAAATTTATCTAGTTTAAAAATTTATTACATATCGAATGTATTTATATACAATTATGTATAATTTTTACCTGGAATTTGTTCTCGCATTCGTGATATAATTTGCGAACAATATTCTTTATCAGTTTTAGATATATCAGAAGTACGTGGAATAATTAAAACAATATCAGAACGTGCACCGCCAACTCCACGATTACGTTCGGTATTAAGTTTATTCATCAGATATGTTTCTAATTTCATGAGTGATTTAGGTAAATCAAAACCATGAGTAACTAAAAAAAAATTATATCATAAAAATATAAATAAAAAAGTATATTATAATTAATTCATTCTTGATTTCAAATTAGTACATACTATTTTTATAATGCGATGAATTATAAGCATGAAAATCCAAAATGTTATAAGTGCTATTAATCATTGGTATTCCATCGTAACCATTTATTAATGTAAAGTTGGAATTAAATTGGTTTATGTCTACATTTTCTAATAAATATGCAAGAATAACTTTTATTGCAGAAAATTCCCAATTTGTATCCAAAATGATTGTCAAATCAATGGATATTTGATTAAATTTATATAATTTATCTGTTTC